ATGACCGTAGGTAAGTATGGGGATAAAGATCGACTTGAATATTGAGAGCTTAGTTTGCAGACTGAGCTCTTCTTTAGTCACAATGGGTCGGCCTAGTTCACGTTTGAACGCCACTGGCTACTCCAATTCGCCGGTCGATCTCTTCCTCCAACTTTCCATCACTAGTAAGTACAATTCCGAGATACTTGAACTTCTATACCTGCTCCACCGCCTCTCCGTTATTCTGAAGAGAGCAACGGGCAGGAGACCGAGAAAGCACCAGGCTTTTCGTTTTAGATGCGTTCACACTAATGGCAGTCACGTCGCATTCGGCTGCGAACCTTTCTAAAGATCAGTTTCAGAAGACGCTAAAAAAACAAAGTCGTCTGCAAACAGCAACCTTCTCGACTTCACATCTCCTACACCGATACCCTCACCGCCTTTGAAGCTCCTGACTATTCTGTTCATGTGTAACACAAACAGCATAGGGGACAGGACGCAACCTTAGCCGAGACCAGTACGAAGGTCGAATGGTTTCGACTTAACGCCGTTAACTCTGACGCAGTACCTGCTATCAGAATACAGCGATTGGATGGCCCTTAGCAGCTGGCCATCAATCCCGTATGCGCGAAGGTATGTCCACAGACTTTTGCGTGGGATCCGGTCATACGCTTTCTCTTGGTCCACAAAACACATGTCCACTGGCTGGGCGTACTGCCACGATTTCTCTGGAGTATGGCGCAGGGAAAATATGTAGTCTGGCAAGGCAATATGTTAATCCTGCCGGAAGCCTCATTGCTCTTGTATCTTGGAGTCAGTTATTTCCCGGCACCGCCTTTCTAGCACCTTTGCGTAGACTTTACCTAGAAGGATCGATAACTTACTGCCCCGATAACTGGAGCACACACTGGGGTCTCCCTCACTGAATAGAGGTTGACTTAAGACGCTCAGTAATACTTTCGTAATTTAAATTTAAATTGTTTCTACCAAATATATCAATGCGTAAATGTTTAGCTGTAACGAAATGGGTGCATAGCAATATCTAAACCCAGAGTCTATGATGCAAGTTTTGGTCTCTAGAAATGTTCGCGGCCGAGTGCGACGTGACGGGTATGCGTGTGAACGTATCTAAAAGGAAAAGCCTTGTGCTTTCTCATTCTCCTGTCCGTTGCGCTCTTCAGGTTAACGAAGAGGAGTGGAGCAGGTGGAGAAGTGATTTTTCGCATGCTAAAGGCTCTGGTCGTGTGACTGCTTTCGATAAGCTGGTGCAATTAACAAAGCATTTAATCTGATATCTACGTCATCCACAGGGCGGTCAAGCTGAATAACTGGCCGTTAAGCGGTCACAGCGAAAAGTTACCGCTTTTGACTGAATAGCGAATCATTTGTTTCAGTCCATATCTGTATGGACGGATTATTACTGTGGACAGTAACGTGGTTATGAAACGGTCAGCTATAACCAGCCAGTGATCGTATGCTAAGAACGATTGCTCACTAAAACGCCAGTCGGGCGATGCTTGCAATACGGAATTCCTTCGGATAGCAAGCTCCATTCTCCTGCAGGTTACTGAAAAACAGTCTAAAGCTTGATCCATGATACTGATTTGAGTATGTATATGGTATTTCATATTATTTTAAACCATTATTCAATGCACTATAATATAATGTAAGAATGTCATTATCTAATTAACTGTACATTGATTAACTGAATTAACACAATACTCTATGTCACCTGCGTGAAAATAAGTAATTTACATATTTTCTAATAATGCTGGCAGTTGGCATAATTTTACAGAACAGTAGCACCCATTGTAGTAAAATGATTAGGTTTATTTAAATTTTTATGAACAGAAATTGCAGGGCGGGCTATCCTTCAGCTCTGCAAGACTTCGTGTAAATCAAGAATGGTCAGTCGATGTGACCATGACCTAAAAGCCGAAGATGTTAAGAAATTAGTATCCCTCGATCACAGGGGTTTTGGAATCATATCGCTGACTTTATTTATTTACCATATATCCGACACCTTTATCCATGCTCGTCGCCCCATCATCCAGCTCTGTAGTGT